GTAACATGAGAGGGCAACAGTGGAATCTCAACCCTATCTGAAGCAGCACTTTTTGTACCTTTCTGGTGCTGTACCAGACGTTGCAGTCTACAAACATCTGAAGGCCACATGTTCCCCTACCTGCTCCCCTTAACGGACTAACATTTAAATCAGTTAGTCAGGGAACTATTGATGTATCAGAAACGGCAACCCCCCTGTGGGTATTAAGGACATAGGTTGAATTTGACTAGAGAGACTGGAGATATTTGCCTAATGAAACCACAGATGGAACTGTGGGTAGAACTAAACATCAGTACTTAGATGGAGCATCAAGAATCCCTGAATCACACTGAAATCTGGCACAACTCTCTTAAGTCACTCCTTTGGAACAGAGTTGTAGTTATTACATTTATATTCCAACTTTCTCCCAGGGACCTCAATACAGCATACATGATTCTTTTCCCCTCCTTACCTCCCCTAATTTTATCAGACAAAAACGTTCTGATGTAATTTAGATTTGTTTGGTATGTTTTAATTAAGACTCTACCAATTTACAAATGCTTTTGTGGAGAATTAGAAACAGTTCACCCATTTTTCAACAGGCTGTTTATTTCCTACCTGAACATTTTGACTCTATCCAACAGAGAGCTAACTGAAATCAAAGGGTCTGGCCTGCTGTGGCATTGGGGCCTTTGAAGGTTTTGCTAACTCATCAGCATTACTTATTGATGTCACAAAGGGAACAATGTCACCCTGTTGCTCATCTTGTTCTTGTTCTGACACTTCCTCCGGCATTGGTGGCAGGTCAGGATTAATTAGCTCACTGATATATTGATGCTGTAGTTCCGTAGGCTATCCCCACTTCAAATTGCTGCGCTACAGAGCATGAAGTGCCAGCTATGGAAATTAAATGAGATGTCACTTTTATCTCCTTTGCTGCTTGACCAATTTTGCAGAGAGAGAGAGAGAGAAATGCTGAATCACAAAGAAAATGCTTTACCACTGATGTCAATATTAGTAGTCTCTAGTTAACCTCAGCATCTAATGTCATAATTAAGAAATGGGATGGCTGTTTTCCTCTGCCTTTTACAACACTCACCATCATCCGTGGTCCTCCTCCTTTATTCACTTCTTTTAGCAATAACTGTTTCCACTTTGATCAAGAAAATGTAATGTGTATAGAGAAACAGGCTCCCTGAGATACGTGCCTGCTGGATGTACCTGTGCAAGAAACCAAAGCTGTTTTCTGTTCCGTTTCTGTATATATATTTTTACTGTGTTTATTGAACGTGGATTGTTATATATATATAACCTTTCCATGTCTCCCATTATATATATAATAGGATTCTGACAACAGCATCAACCAAACTACGACATTCCACTAAATTCACCAGCACCCCACCCCTGTTGGCAATTCTGCAACTTCTACTGTAAGAAGGTATTACAAGCCCATGAGGCAAAGGCAGATAAAGCAAAGACTACATAAAATCGTTTGACCCCAACAAATGCACTCATATATCTCAGTCATGTCAGTAACTTTTTAATGGAATTAACTATGAATATACTATGACTCCAACTGCAAAATTCTGTACTTTCAGAAAGCTCAGTTCACTGTGAATCAACATGAAATCAAAGCCCAAAATACAGACAGAACCAGTGGTTTCAAATGTTCTTGTACTCCAGTACTCTAACCAGTATTGCCAATGATCAGGGATAGTAGGAATGGAGGACCAACGATGTCTAGAGAGATGTTCATTCCTGCCCCTGCTCAAAAGATGGAAGCAATTACCTATAGCGCCTCCTAAATCTATGCAGTGTGGTGACCTGCACAAACAACTACTGTACAAAATTGCATCGGAGCAAATGTAGATCAAGGATTATGGGTGTGTGTGTGTGTGTGTGTGTGTGTGTGTGTGTGTGTGTGTGTGTGTGTGTGTGTGTGTGTGTGTGTGTGTGTGAGAGAGAGAGAGAGAGAGAGAGAGAGAGAGAGAGAGCATTTTAAGTTGCCATCATTAACCAATTATGACCCTTGTGGTCTACTGTAAACCTCTTAGCATTCTACATCTTTCCAGCATGCCTAAAAACAAGTAATACTCAGAAATGGGTAGTGGCGAATATAGCATTAACCTAGATCCCTGGAGATGTACAGGAATGTGATTTTTTTGTTGTTTGTGTGAATCCAGTATGTATTTTCTTATCTTTATTTGATACACTTTTGCAAGACTTGGTAGTGCATGTGTATTTTGGTATATACTTTTAAATACATTTTTCTCAAGGTACATATTTTGCACACATTTGTCCCACTAAAATATGTTTATGAGTATTTTTCAAAGATTCACTTTCTGAGTTGTGAACATTTCATACCACATAATTTAAAAAAAGGAAAAACAAATAGGAAAGAATCTTCTGTCTGTGATTTCTTTCCAGTGATGGAAACCCAAAACATGTGCACATTCTTTCACCGACAGTGTCATGGACCATGAGTATTGGTTAAATACATTTTAAAAATCTGGTTAATGCTCAGTTCTTTTCTATCCATAGCCTTAAGAACTTTCTGCAGCATCCTTATCAAACAGATTAGGAAGTTAAGAGTCAAAATGCCTTTCAGCACTGAGGAAAAAAAGAGCAAGCCATGGGTCAAGCACATCTAGAGGACAGCAGCTTGTGGAAGAATGGAAAAGTGAAAAAATATATGGGGAAAGTGCAGTTAAATAAAAAAAGATACTCCTGTTTTTGCCCAGGAGCTGCAAACTCTTGCATTAGAAAAAGCATGGGAACTATTGCAGAATCTCTGTGTAACAGCATCACGTTTGCTCAATAACTTTAAAACTATCCCACCCACCCCTTTCAAAGAACATAGTTCTTTGAAACTAATCTCTTATCCTGTTGGATAAAGGCTTGCATAAGAGGTAGGAAATTTGTGGCCTTCCAGATGTTGTTGGACCACAACGTCCCTGAATACTAGCCAGTAATGCCAATAAAGAAAGATGTTAATTGGCAATCCAGCTACATCTGAAGGGGCGCACCTTCCTCTTCCCAAATTCATCGGCAGCCATTCCTTTGCTGTTCTGTCATTTTTTTCTTAGGAAAACATGCAAGACAGAGAATTTCAAGCATCATCATTATGATTTTAAAGGTGTGTTCCTCTTCAATATGTGAAACTGTTGCTTTATTTAGTTATTTCATGCTCAGCTGAAAAGCAAGTAAGTTGCTATTTATTGTATATTTTTAAATCTGCCATCTCTCTTGCTGGTACAGCCTGTAAATGGGATGCACTGAGCTTTTCGTTTCAGCTCATATTATTTGCAGATCATGACACAATGGTGAAGGTATGTAAGCAAGAGCTAATTTAGATGCAAAAACATCTCAAAGAAAAATGCAACCATTAAATTATATGGGTTAATTTTACATTAGTAGCCCCAGCACTGCCTATGACAAAACACAGCTCGGAACAAGAGGAAACTGCACCTGGAATATTAAGTGGGAGTTCAATGCCACTGATCTAAGGAGACAATGCAGTACAGACCATGCCACTAATTAGCAAATTAAATATTAATTATTACTGGATGTGAATGCCAACATGTACAGTATATGCACCTGAATTCAATTCATTCTCATTAAAGTAACATCTGACTAAAACAGAACAGATTTTAAAATAAAGTTGTTTGACTCAGTAATAGGCAAGCATTACATTATTCATCTCACTGTAAAGGACAGGCCAGCAATACTTTGAACCAAGCGGGCCTCATTTACTCATGGCATTTTTTCCTTGATTCCAAAATGTTTTGTATTAATATGCTCTTCTGTTGTTTCTCCAAAAGTAATGTACTTCATTACTTTCTTCAGAAGTAATGTAGTTCAAAAGGTAAAGTGGAAGGAGAGACACACAATACAAAATATGGTAATATCTTTCTGCACAAAGGTAAAAAACATGTAACTTCAGTGTCAAAAACTCCAAGAAATTGGACTGGTGTGCGAAACCATTTTTATTGTCATCTTCTTAATATAACAGCTACTGTCCTGAATTTCTTATATAACTATTTAAAAAAACATGGAAGGCAGCATGCTTCACACAAAACTGGCTTTTCCATAGATTGTATCTGAATCTGGCCCATAGAGAGGAGCAATGTTTGTTTTTTTAGAAGTAAAAGTGGGCTGTTCTGCTTCTTTTGTACGAAAGAAAAAGAAATCATAGCTGAAAACAAGAGGGAATGATAGAACTAAATGAATTACTTAACTACATTTTGAGGGAAGTGCTCCTCTAAGTGGTAAAGGACATGCATGATTTTCCTCACGTGTTTCTTGCATTTAGCATACAGTGGTGCCCTGCATAACGAGTGATTCGTTTAACGATGAATCCGCATAGCGATGTTTGTTGCGATCACAAAAGCGATCGCATCGCAATGTTTCTAATGGTAAAACATCGCTTTGCGATGATGGGTAAGCGTTGCGCTTACCGATTTTCACATACCAATGTTTTTTAACAGCTGATCGGCGGTTCCAAAATGGCCGCCGGGGAAAGAAAATGGGCGCCCGCTGTGTTTTTGCGCCCTTTCCTCATTTACCGGGCAGCGAAAATGGCGGCCGCATGGAGGATTTCCGCATAATGGGGAGTTTTTTGCCCACAGGAACGCATTAAACGTGTTTTAATACGTTCCTATGGGCTTTTTTGCCCCACATAGCGACGAATCCACATAGCGACAATTTTTTGGAACGGATTATTGTTGCTATGCGGGGCACCACTGTACTTTGTTTTGTGATGGTCATTAGAAAGTAAATACAGGCTGAATTTGAATGTCTGATTGCTGGGGCACCCAACTCTAGTAAGTCCCTTTGTGTGAAGAAAAGCAGCCCAATATACATACATTCACCTTAATATCCACTTTGACCTTTATACCTTCTGCTTCCTTTATTTCAGGAATATTTAGTAAGGAGACATTTTGTTGACTTGTATTTCTCTGAACAAATATTAATGGACTACTCTTTCACCCACACTAAAACAAAACACAAAGGACACAGAATGAAAGGGTATGATGGACTTTATTCAGTTAAAGGAGGATGCAGTGACATTTTGGTGGTGGTAAAGTTAAGATCAAAATCTTATTTCAGGTTACATGGCAAGTGGTTCTGAATACTACAGTTGAACGTTCCAAAAGAGGCAGGAACTGACAATGTTCCAGAAATACATCACAATAGAATATATTGATCAACTGTACTTATACAAAATGTCAAAGTAACTTTAATCTGAATTTATACATTGACTCCAAAGTTTGCACCAAACAGTTCTCCAAATGTTCAAGCTGAATCAATAAAAATACCTAGTTTTCACAAGACAGCTTTCAATATATATAAAAATAGCAGATACCCATTGCCACCAATACTTACAATTTATAAAAACATGACAGGATCCACCATCAAAATTATTCAAGAAAAATAAGTTTATTATCTATGAATTTACAGAATCAAAAATGATCTTAGCCTCCTCACACCTCTGATACATGTTGAGAAGTGTTATGTTCCCTGGACAAAAAAGTCCATTTTCCTCTCCAGGGTTTCTAATACAGTTGGCCATATGAATACTTTCTTGACATCCTACAATAGCTCCATTCCCTTGCTTCCTACCTGATAGTCCTGCCTTGTTATCTGAAAGACCTTGTCAAGACTTCCATGCCATGCATACAATTCACTAAGCATACACAAAGCTCCTTTCAATGCTAGTTCCAGAATAAGAATGGTTGCAGCCAGACTCTAAAAGCATCTTTACCCAGAAGTTAAGTGCCACTACATTTGAGGAGTGCTTACTTTCTCTTCAGGGTGCTTAGGGTTGCAACTTTAGTCAGCAGATTCCTCATAGTGTGCATAGCCACTTGCATAGGTCCTTCCTAAATTCAAGTTAGTGAACACATCAGCCATCTCTGTTTCTGAATCTCTCCCTCCCTCCTCATTTTCCTCCTCTTCTTCCTCCTCTTCTCCTTCATATTCATCATATTCCTCATCCTGATCACCTGTACTGGCTTCTTTGCCACTTGAAAGGTTCTTCCAATAGGCATCATAACCAGAGGCCCCATCAGCTTCTTCACCTCCTGTCTGACGGCCAAATCTCAGAGAGCGTGCTGGGAAAATACAGGGAGGGGAAAAAGCAAAATTTCCCACTTATATTTTATCTTTTTAAAAAAAAAAAAAAAATCTGCATATCAAGAAAGGCTGGCATTAAATATTCCACACTAAATGGCATGATACTACTTTCATACACTGAATTGTTATGGATGTAGTCATTAATATGCTAAGAATAAATCATGATTTGTACCTGGTATCACAAAATTAGAAATAGAAAAGAAAATGATTAATTCAAATTAATTCAGTTAGATGCCAGCAAAAGATCCAAGATTAGCGACTGCCCATAGCAATTTTTGGAATTTAAAGACTCCTCTCCCATCAGGTAGCTCAGCTAGTCATCTGAACAATGTCCCCATAGTAAATGTATCAGCTTCAAAATGATACATCAAACAATTGACTGAAAACTGCATCAGACACTCCCTTCTCTTAATCAGATCTTCACACATGTAAGAGGAAAGACCTTCAACAACACTGGTTATAGGAGGCCTTCTGAGTGTGAACTTACTTGACATGCTCAGATCCTTGGTCTCTTGCGTTTCATGCCCGCATTTTGGACAAGGAGGCTCTTTCCCCTTTTCTTGTTTGAAAACCTTACTCCGTGTGTGATCATCACAGAAACATGCCTGGAGGACAATAAAGAAGGCCTTGGCATCATTGGTTTGCAGTGATCAGAGAGTCCCTAACCAATTAAAAATTTAACCCATAGTGTGGCTTTCTCACCATAGCTTACTCTTTCAAGGAGTTTCAAAATCAAACTTTCATGGACCTTTTTGAACATAAATAAGGGCAATCCAGAAAGCAACCCATCTGATTAACAGAAATCATTCTGGCTGGACTTAATTTACTAAATTATCCTTTTACAACAGTGTATGAGGGTAGAGTAAGAGTAAAACAAACAAGTATTTTATATTTGAAATAATTAAATGACAAAATGCAAAGCATGTTTCGGTTGCATCTTTATTATAGCGTTTCACTCTTATGATGTATGAGTGACTGTACAATTTTAAAGGAAAATTCTTTTATTAAAAAAGAATAAACTACAGCCAGAATCAACAACTATCCAAAAATAGGACAGATAAGCCAGGATTAGTGAAGACAGAACACATACACTATCCCTCTGATAGACATTAGAAGATTGTGAAGGCTTAGGGGGGTCCTAAAGTTCACAGTGTAAACAAAACAAAAACCACAGTTGGAGGTTCCCAGTGTCTGCACAACTTGCTGCGGTTAACTGAAGAGCCCGTCTGTCTCTCGGTAATATGCCTTGTCATGACTGCACAACTGAGATGCACCCCAGCACCTTGTCAATTAGCCACAGCATGCTACACTAGCTATGCATGAACACTGGCCAACATAACTTTTAATAATACTGAACAACTTCTGTTCTTGTTATTTGAATCCTTTCTTGTTTAAAATGTGCATAGCTTGTATTTTTGGTCAAAGGTGCTTCAAAGCGGCTAATGGTATGGAAGAAACAATAATTTCTCCTTTGTCTACTGAATCTGTAGTTGGCCCAGACCAGGACAATAGATTGTTTGGTTGATTGCCTTAGCATGGACAGAACATATCCTTAATCAGAATCCCAGGTGACACTAGGGGAGGTAGAAGCATAAGAAAATATGATTTCAGCCATACTGGTGGAAGCAGATTGGTGCAGTAGATAGCCAGACAAAGAGGATACCACTTATTATTTTGAATAAAAAAGGAACCAGCAGAGGGAAAAGGCAGCACTGTGGCCAGAATGAGGAAGGCAATTTTCATATCTGTAATCTATAAAGAATGGAGAGATGACATCTCATTGCCTTGGCATTAATCCAAGTATAATAGGAACAGGATGCAGACAACTTCTTTGTAAAAGTATCAGAAGACAGTTTTGATGTATCCCTAGCAAAGGATATAACAAGAACTGCTGGCAGCTTTAAAGAAAGAGAATAGCATATCCAATACATCTGCATTAAAACACTTTTGCTTTTTACCTTACAACGGAGACATGAATGCTGCCCAAGCCGATTACAGGAAACACCTATTAGGCAAGATAAAAGGCATGGCTGAATAATGAGATTTTGCAGCTTTGCTCTTTTTCCTTCTAAACCAAGGTCAGCTATTTAGTTCAATGGATAGCTCCGGGCTTTCCATGACTGTGCCTCTTTCAAGCACAAGGAAAACAAGCACTTAGCCTTGGCTTATAGGAAAGTACAGACATTTTTAATGATGGGCCAACATTCCACTCTCCTTCCGCTTCTGGAAGCAGGAAAGCCCTCTTAATTATGTTTATAACCATCTATTTGTACAAGAAGAAGCAGAAAACAGAACTAGCCCAAAAAAAGAAAAGAAAAAAAGGCTGTTATAAGCAGCACTGGAGGAATACAAAGGCACCCTGCTGACCATGAACCAGGGACAATTGCTGAGGCTATGTTTTTGAACTACAACTCACACAATGCTTTAGCCAAGGACTGTCAGGCCTCCGATTGGAAGCCTGGCAGTCCTTGCAGTAATCCAGAAGTGAGCATTGTGTGGCGTTTCAGCTTTTGGGGATGGGCGGAACTACATCTCCACCATCCCTCACCACTGGCTACACTGCCTATGAGTGATAGGAGTTGCAACCCAATAACATCTGCAGAGCTACACATTGCCCCTCCCTCTCCAGAAAAAGTTGAACCAGCTCCAGCCTTCAGGGGCACCCATCAGTACCCAATAAACAGGAAGCTAAGTGGACCTAGGCCTAGCTTAGGCCACAAAGCCTTCCAGCTTAGGCCTTTAGCCAGGGTGAGCCACATTGAAGTACAGTGGTGCCCCGCTTGACGACGATAATCCATTCCAGGAAAATAGCTGTAAAGTAAAATCGTCGTCAAGCGGAAAAAAAACCATTGGAATGCATTGAAAACTGGTTAATGCGTTCCAATGGGGAAATACCCCATAGAGAACCGTCGATCAGCTGTTTAAAATCGCTGTCTTCCGAAGCTTCTGTCCGGAAAACAGCCATTTTGTGAAGGGAGGGAAGTCATTTTGCGAAGGGAAGCCATTTTGCAGAGCTGGAAAAAAAAACCATTTTGCGAACAAACGGTTAGCGAAGCAGGGACCTAATCAACGTAAAGTGAAAAAAACCCATAGGAACTATTGTTTTGCGATCAGAAAAAACTCATAGTCAAGCGGGGCACCACTGTATTTATATATCATGTGGGAATCCCAGAATGAAGAATCATGGGATTTGTAGTTCTTAAAAAAACCCAGTGTCTAATCCCTACTTCCCATTTTACTCTGCAGAATGCTTGACATTGACATCTCACAGGAAACCAGAATTACTGATCACTCCTGCTTGGCTCCTACTGTTCGTGAGAGGTTAAGCAAGTCAAAGGGTACTCTTCGCTGTCTAGATTTTGGTCAGCTGCTTCTATCATTACCATTAGCCAGATCCACTAAGGCCTTTGGGAGCTGGAGTTCAACAACATTTGCAGGGCAACAGGTTCCCCAAATAAACCAGAAAGCCTACATCTGTGATTTGACTAGCATTAGGTCTAAAGTAGAAGCTTGCCTTGTTCTCTTATAACAGGGGAGGGCAATTAATTTCTACAGGGGGGGCCACATGAAAAATCTGAACTGTGTTCGGGGGCCAAACCAACTTTACTTAAAAATAAAATTAAACAGTGATGTTATGATTGTTTTTATTTTAAACTTGTTAATCTTCACAAATATTAAATAGGTTTTTTGCAGTATGTTACAGATAAGCAACTGATCAACTTTAGACAAAAAGCTATAAATGGTTTTGATGTTCAAAACTGTCCGCGGGCCGGACAGGAGCGGCCCGCGGGCTGTATGTGGCCCTCGGGCTGCACTTTGCCCAGTTCTCTTATAACAAGCCAGAATCAAAAGCCAAGAACAAAATCTACCTTACATTTCTAGCTTGCTAGGAAAATTATCTTACTAAGCTAAAATTGCAGACGGAAGTTTCCTAGCTTGCTTAGGAGCTTCCATTAGAGACGGGGATATTCATATTTGCATTCATATATGAATATCCCCAATGTAGCTGGACCTAATGAGGGTCCAGCCCCTGAGACCGGACCGTTCACTCACACATCTTGCTGCAGCACCAGTCCCACTCGTCCTTCCAATGGCACCTGGAGTTCCACACTCTTCCCACATGACTGGCCACACCAGGTAGGGGGCGAGAAGATGAGTCTCCTCACATGGCTGCTGACTAGCCAGCTGAGTGGGAAGAGCAAAGCTCTTGGTGTCATTGGAAGGATGAGAGGGACCAGCGCTGCAGCAAGACATCTGAGTGGACAGTGTGGCCCCTGTGGGCTGGACCCTCGTTGGGTCCCAGCCACATCAGGGATACTTGTATTTATATACAAATATCCTCATCTCTAAGGATGTGGTGGTGCTGCGAATTAAACTGCAGAAGCCTCTGTGCTGCAAGGTCAGAAGACCAGAAACCGCTAGATCGAATCCACGCGACAGAGTGAGCTCCCGTCGCTTGTTCCAGCTCCTGCCAACCTAGCAGGTCGAAAGCATGTAAATGCGAGTAGATAAATAGGTACCACCATGGTGCGAAGGTAACGGCGTTCCATGTCTAATTACGCTGGCCACATGACCATGGAAACTGTCTACAGACAAACGTTGGCTGCATGGCTTGGAAATGGGGATGAGCACAGCACTCTAGAGTCAGACACGACTGGACTAAATGTCAAGAGGAACCTTTACCTTTACCAGTCCTTATCTCTAGCTTCTACTGGTTCCCAAATTCCTGCCTGCTTATTATTGGCTGAAATAAAGCTTAGGAAAAAGACTTTTGGGGCATTCTGGGAGTCCAAAAGTAATTTTTCCTAGCTTTGTTCCAAACTGGCCCACTGACTGCGACAAATTCCAGACACATTTGTTAATCACAGAATTCAGTACTTACCCTCTTGAATTATTAGCTTAAAATTCACTATTGATGCTCCCTCAGGATTTGAGCTGCATTCTAGAAACAGTTAAAACTGGTTCACCTTTGATAAAAGAAGCTTTAGGAAAATAGCTCACATTTAAAGGTCTCTGCTTCCAGAACCTGGCAGCTGGCCTGATGTTCAAACTGATCATCTTCACAGAGGAAATTATGGCAGAAAGAACAGCTGAATATTCTGCCTCCTATCAGATTCAGAAAGAAAGAATGTAACAGATTTTTTTGAAAAAACATAGCTAGGCTGCATGCCCCTGCCCCACCAAAAGCTATCAGGTACCAGGAAAACCTAACAAAATGAAATTAATGAAACTAACAAAACTTGAAGTTGCCTACTGAAAAATCAAATACAGTGGTGCCTCGCTTAACGAGCGCCTCGTATAGTGATGAATCCGCATAGCGATCCCTTTTCCGGGATTGCTAATGCGGAGGCATCGCGTCAGCCTCTATGGCCGAAACTCGCATAGCGAAGATCGGTAAGCGTTTCGCTTACCGCCCTTCGCTTTGCGACCCGCGGATCAGCTGTTCGGCGGGGCCAAAGTGGCCGCCGGAACAGCCGAAATGGCCGCGCGCAGCGTTTTCACGCCCTCCCCTCGCTTACCGAGGGCGCGAAAATGGCTGCCGGCTATGGGAAGACTTCGTTAAACGGTGAGTTTTCTGCCGATTTGGAATGCATTAAACAATGTTTAATGCGTTCCAATGGCTTTTTTTGTTCCGTTTAACGAAGTATTCACATAGCGAAGGTTAATCTGGAACGGATTAACCTCGCTATGCGAGGCACCACTGTAGTTAATTTGCAAAGCAGGCAAATGTAGTTTTGGACCATGGGCTTTTATGACTGTGGAATTCCCATAATGGAGTAGATGGGAAGCTTTCAAACTCCATCCTGTGCAATCTATCTAAGGACTGGGCCCTTATTGTCATACACGCAGAAACCGTCAGTGGAGGGAAAGGGTATGTGATTAATTGTTTCCTGAACTAATCCAGTCAATGCAACTTTTAGTATTAACTCTGTCATTAACTCCTTTGTGGAGTGCAGGGTACACAGATGCCTTGCGTGTATCCTTTTAAATGGCATTGGTACAATGTGAGATTGTGTCAGTCGGGCTGTCCAAATCTCATCATCTCCAACTCCCATCACCCCCAATCAACATTACCAATAGTCAGGGATAATGGGGATTCAGGTTCAACACCATCAGGATGGCTGCATATTCTCCACTCCTGGTGTAGACTTTCACTCATGGAAAAGAGGCACAAGGGCAGGGCCTCCTTCCTGGCTGGGAATCAGCCACTGGTTCATGGAAATTAAATGAAAAACATAGGCAGGGGATTCTTTACCAATTCTAGAACTCTCTGCCTCTGTTTTTCATTTTTAAAGGGGAAGCCAGCAGTAGCAAGGCTTCTACAAAGAGAATATTGTTTTATATTCTTGGAGCTTTAAACATGCAGTTAGAACAGGGAAGAGAAACCTTGTTCATAAACAACTCACCATGGTCCCAGACGCCTCTCTCACACTCAATACACTCTGCATCAGCAAGAGGGCAGATACAAGCATGGCTACTGAGGCATTTCCTGCCATGGCAAACCCAAGCTTCACAGAAATCACATATGGCTCCCTGCAAAGGAGGAATGAATACGTTACTGTAGACTCTGATTGCCCCCTGCTGACAGACGTTTTGAACAGCAGGACACGACGCAGAGCTCGGAAGAGTCACTTCTTTGGATCACAGCTGCCAGAATTCCTAGTGATTATGCTAGCTGCAGGATTCTTGCAATTGTTGCTCAAAATGTTACACATACATTTCCAAGGTGCAAGTGGCAGGAATCATCTGGAGACAGTGAAGCACTAAGAGTTACATCCCAAATGTCTGCTAATAGCCTCGGTTTCAAGACTGATTAAACCCCAGTCCTGAAGTAATTAAAAGAAACTGAATTCCACTGATGGTTTTCAGTCCTGCATCCCACTCACAATGCTCACCAACTGGAAGTGCTCAGAAGGAGAAGTCCCGGAGTCAAGCCATCAGCAAATACTGTACGATGGAATACTTCAAAGCACATCAACAGGGCTGGACTCCCCTAAAGAGATCAGTCCGTGCTACACCATCTGCTCAACCTGGCTAATCAAAAGTGCACACAAGAACCAGCCACTTTGGGCCCAAATCATAGCTTTTGAAACTCAAGAGTTTCCCCAAGGTCACTGTATAGTCTCTTTTCCCACCATTGTTCTGAAATAATTTCTCTCACTGCAGGCAATGCTGTGAGACAGAAGAGATCCCTCTCTCCAACTTTTTGCATTTTGGCCCCAATGTGAGCCAATATTACAGATGATCTGTTTTAACAAAGAATGGCCAGAATCCTGGTGGGGTTTGTGCAACTTGCTGCAGCTAATTGATAAGGTGCCAGAGTGCAACTCAACTGTGCAGTCAGCTGCACAAACAGGCATGCAAATGAGCCACTTGAACCTCATATGAACAGCAATAGAATTTCAGCCTGTATTTTATCTCAAAATACATTTTAGCTCCATATCAGCACAAATTGGAAATTTTCTTTTAAAACTACAACCCCTAGAATGTGACAATTATTGCATTTTGCTATAGCAAGACAGGTATGAACTGCAAATCTGCCAGATAATCTCCGCAGCAATGAATTAACCCATCATTTATGTGAAAGCAGGAAACCTAACCAACTTTGGCTTTCCAGATGTTTGGTCTACAATTGCCATGCATGATCCTTTACCACTAGCCATGCTTTGTATTGCTATTGAGAGCTGCATGCCAGGACCCTTGGGGGACAAAAGATCTTCCACCTGTTTTCTAGATGTGAATCTCCATTTGAGATACGGTACATACCACCATGGCAAGGCCTGTGCTGTACACACCAGCATGTTTGATGACACAGTCTGAAGATTTCATCATACATTTTGTCTTTCCTGTTACAGAGGCGAAAGAAGTATATGTTAAAGATTTACAGACCTAACCTACATGCTGTTAAGGAAGATTTGATGGGATTTCAGATATATGGGGGGAAATGACATAGTGTTACAAAATCCTTTTTTTAATGCACCCAGCTGCTTTAAAACAAAGACATTTAGGAGACAGAAGCAGAGGGCTGAGGCATGAAAATGCCACTCCCTTTCCCTACTTGACATACCCCCCCTTCCCCTGAAGGTAAAAGTGATCTCTTCCTAACTTTTTTTGTTGTTCTAAATCCTCACTCAAAGCAGTCTTTCTTTCTTTCTAAAATATGACATGCAACAGTGCCCCAGCCCAGAAATTGGGAACTTTTGTCCCAGCAGATGTTGTCACACTCGCCATCCCCTCTATCAGCCAGACTGATTGAAGGGAATTAAGAGTCCAAAACATCTGGAGCATCAGATGTCTATTTTCCATTAATCTAATTTGCTCTGCCTTAATCTGAGCATGTCACTTCACAACGCCTAAGGACTCAGCAGAACAAAAAGATGGAGGTGTTTACATAATACAACAAGATGGTTTTACAGACAGACCTACTGCATTAACATTTAGTTACAATTAAGAGAAATACCCTGGTAAAACAATGTACACTTACCACATTGTGCACAAAGAGGCAACTTTTGAACAGAACTGCAAAAGTAGCAGAAGGCTCTATTTTTCTGCCGTCTGTCAGAATACAAAACAATGAAACAAATAATAGAACAAAACATGTTCTGAATACTGCAAAAAGGTTATATTTAAGGAAAATACTGAAAATGAATATTTACCTTTGACATTTATCACATTCCTGTAAGAGAAGGAAATAATTTGCTTTTAGGAATTTCTATTTAAACTTGACAAATTTGTGAATTAAACTGACATTTTACAGCACTGTGCAAAAGGAAATTAAGTTTCATTTTCCTCACTAACAATAGAAGAGGCAGATTACCCACTGTCTATGATCTCTGGATACTGCTTGGCATTTTGGTAGGACTTGGACAATCTTTCATCACATTGAGTGTGGAATATGACATTTCATACACTGCAGTCTCATTTCTATTAACACAGCTCAGCAGCCTTTTGTTCCTCTCTAAAGCCTCAGGCAACTCAAAACATATTATAAAAGTGCAAAGGTCGGTGCCACTAGAGGCAGAGTACCTGCCTTGCATCTATTTATTTATAATTAAATAATAAATATTTATAATTAAAAGTGTTAATGTTGACATATAAAGCCCTAAATGGTTTAGGACCTCAATAACTAGCGGAACGCCTTCTCCCACCTAGATCTACTCGAATCACTTGATACAGCCAAGAAAGGCGGCCGAGGAGCCTAACGCCAAGAGGGAGGCCTGGAAAGAAAGAACAAGAAGAAACCGGGCCTTCTTGGCAGTGGGCCCTTGACTTTGGAATAAACTTCCATTGGAAATTCGCCTGGCACCCTTGCTGGGTGTTTCTAAGAGCCAACTTAAGACCTGGCTCTTTAGGCAGGCCTCCCCTCCGGTCACTACAGTACTTGCTTTTCTATCTTAACTTTTATTTTGCTTTTTCATCTTGAATGCCACTAATATTATTGATTTGAATTGTTGTTTAATTGTTTATATGTTGTTTTCATGCTTCTACTGTAAGCTGCCCAGAGTAGACGTAGTCTAGATGAGCGGGATACAAATCTAGTAAATAAATAAATAAGTTTCAACTACTATTAAGATCTCACCTTATCATAGAATGACTGAGTTGGAAGGAGCCTATAGGGCCAATACAAATCTAGTAAATAAATAAATAAATTTCAACTACTATTAAGATCCCACCTTATCGTAGAATGACTGAGTTGGGGCCTATAGGACCATCGAGTCCAACCTCATCTTCAGTTAAAGCAGGATTATTTGGCCAGCAAATTGCTGCTGGATTGCAACCCCCATCACTCCTTGTCAAGAAAGGCAATTAGGAGGCATGGTGCGAGCCACAGTCCAACATCCAGAAGGTTACGGTACATATACCCCTCCTTGAGTTATAGCATCTCAGCCAGGATCCATAAGCTTTGGCTTGGGCCAGTAAAAAACTCTACTCATAACTGTCAGTGAATTTTCTCTTCTGCAGGTCTGCTGTACATGCCAGAGAGGAATAGGTTTTGGTGTTGCTGGAAGAGGGCAATAATTTCCAAAGGCTTCAATTTTTTCCATTTGTATTTTATAAGGTTTCAAGGTTATGAATACAGAAACTATCTTCATTTCTATTAGTCTTATAAACACTAAGAAAGTGTTTGTGGTCAGAAGAGAAAATTTTAACCAAAGTTTGTATTGTATTTGTATCTCAAAGATAAGAAATGCATAATGATTTACCATTGAAGCATTACAGGGATGTTTTGCCAGATCAACATTGCCCCTGGAAGCTCGAATCTGTTTCTCGCGTTCTTTACGATTCTCAGCCTTCTTCCGAGCACCTGTCTTCTTTTTTGGCATCTTTCACTTTCTGGAAGACCAAAGGTTGTTTAGCAAATTTCTGGGAGAGGGGATAAACATTGTCTTATTATCTTGTCAAAAGTAATTGATCCCTCATTTTCAGCCATGACACCTGTCTGTTTTTAGATGTTTCATTAATATGACAGCAATTTAGTTCAGATGGAATCTTAGATCCTTGGATGGTGCTGGATTACAATTCCCACCATCCCCAGGCAGTAATGGTTTGGTATCATGGGAGACATGCAACAGCATCCAAAGACCCAAGGCTGGGAGCTGCTGCTTTATAGTCCCAAAACCAACTCAAGAGCCTATAGAAAGAAGATAAAGTATTAGATCTCCTGAGAAATCTGTATGTGGGACAGGAAGCAACAGTTAGAACTGGATATGGAACAACTGATTGGTTCAAAATTGGGGAAGGAGTATGACAAGGCTGTATATTGATCCTCTGCTTATTTAACTTATATGCAGAATACATCATGCGAAAGGCTGGACTGGAGGAATCCCAAGCCGGAATTAAGATTGCTGGAAGAAACATCAACAACCTCAGATATGCAGATGATACCACTCTGAGGGTAGGTGAGGAGGAATTAAAGAACCTCTTAATGAGGGTGAAAGAGGACAGCGCAAAAAATGGTCTGAAGCTCAACATCAAAAAAACTAAAATCATGGCCACTGGTCCCATCACCTCCTGGCAAATAGAAGGGAAGATGCAGAGGCAGTGACAGATTTTACTTTCTTGGGCTTACTGATCAGTGCAGATGGTGACAGCAGCCACAAAATCAAAAGATGCCTGCTTCTTGGGAGGAAAGCGATGACAAACCTAGACAGCATCTTAAAAATCAGGGACATCACCTTGCCGACAAAGGTCCACATAGTTAAAGCTATGGCTTTTCCAATAGCGATGTATGGAAGTGAGCGCTGGACCATAAAGAAGGCTGACCTCCAAAGAATTGATGCTTTTGAATTGTGGTGCTTGAGGAGACTCTTGAAAGTCCCCTGGACTGCAAGGAGAACAAACCTATCCATTCTAAAAGAAATCAACTCTGGGTGCTTGCTGGAAGGACAAATCCTGAAGCTGAGGCTCCAATACTTTGGCCATCTCATGAGAAGAGAAGACCCCCCTAGAAAAGCCCCTGATGTTGTGAAAGTGTGAAGGCAAGAGGAGAAGGGGACGACAGAGGACGAGATGGTTAGTGTCATCAAAGCTACCAACATGAATTTGACCCAACTCCGGGAGGCAGTGGAAGACAGGAGGACCTGGCAAGCTCTGGTCCATGGGGTCACAAAGAGTCAGACACGACTTAACGACTAAACAACAACAACAAAGTGTTAGATGAAAACTAATCAAGTGGCTCATGAAAGACACAGGTGAAGGAACCAAGAGACAGCACCTAAATAGGAAAACAAATAACTGCTGTGAAGGTAGTTTAATAAGGATGTTCTCAGATTGCAGGCATCAGATTCTGATTTAGTCACTGGAAAAGCATCTACAATCCAGTTACAACACTTAACACTCTATGGACTGGACTCCCTAGACAAACCTCAGGGCCATAATTCTCTATCAAAAGTGTTCCTCCATGGTATTGTAGTGGTTGGCACGATGGTCTGAATCATGGAGGAAGGTTGAGGCCTACCATTAACCAAAGCAAGTTACTTGAAACAATAAGAATTACAGTAAGACATTGGAATAGAAAAAAAAGCAGGGAGATGTGGTGTTATGTAAACCATGCAGCATTCACTGCTGTAAATCTTATGTACATCACGGAGCACATTCTGTAGGTCAGTAGAGAGAGGGAAAGCTTCAGTCAGCCCAAGTACTTTATGCCTCACTAGATCTTTTTGCAGCAATGATATCCTTCCCTAGATCTTTGTCCAGTGATCATAAGGAACCCTTCAATTTGTAAAGCTTATGGGCAGATTCTTACTCAACAGCTCAGTTTCCATGCTTCTGGTTACTGTAACAATACAGTACCAAGATTACAAACTAACACGAGGCACTAATTTTTAAATATTATAAATTAAATAGCCTTTGAAAAAAACACTTTGTACTACACTTGCATACTTTCAATCACACAAGGCCAACTGTTCTCAGCCTATAGTCCTCCAGGTGTTTTGGATTTTGACTCCTGGAAGTCCCAGGCGGCATAGTCAATGCTTCAGGACTGTAGGGACCAGAAGTACAAAACATCTAAAGGGCCAAGGCATAAATGAATTCCTCTCCATCACCTGGTTTTACAGAGTTACTGCTACCTGGACTCCCGCTGAGTAGGAGCCCTTAGCCGCCCCCACCCAGTATTTTCCTCACAGGTCATCCACACCATACTAAAGAAAATCATGTATTTCTTATTACCAGTGTTGGGTTTTTTATAATTCACATAAATTGGTTAGCTTGGTCCTTAGTTTCTCACATTGTGTATAAATTGCATTAAAAAGTCATACTTTATATTCAGAGTTGCATTCCAAGATGCCGCTGGCAGCAATCATTATTCTGCAGAATGACATTTATGACACCGCATACCCAGTATTACATTATAAACCAGGTTTCTTTCCTGTTTAATGTCAATTTAGCAATAAGGGATTCAATCTTTAGTATTTATACATATAATTCTAGGCATTTATTATGTGACTTGAAGCAGTTTCATGGCAATTCATGAAAAAAATTCCAAAACTTCAAAAATGCCAAGGCAGTATAGACAGTAAGGTAAAGGTTCCTCTTGACATTTAGTCCAGTTGTGTCTGACTCTAGGGTGCTGTGCTCATTCTCATTTCCAAGCTGTAGAGCCAGCGTTTGTCCGAAGACCATTTCTGTGGTCACATGGCCAGTGCAACTAGACACACAACGCTGTTAGATAAATAGGTGGTACCTATTTATCTACTCGCATTTTTACATGCTTTCGAACAGCTAGGTTGGCAGGAGCTGGGACAGGCAACGGGAGCTCACCTCGTTGCGTGGATCCGATCTTATGACGGCTGGTCTTCTGATCTTGCAGCACAGAGGCTTCTGCGGTTTAACCCGCAGAGCCACCACGTCCCTGTGTATAGACTGTAAGCAACACTATAGTCTGGAATTCTTTCCTCTGTCACACACTCAGAGGATTGTACAAATATTATGAACTTCAGTTAGTTTTTCTATTGGTTGCTGCTAAAATCTCTTCTTGAAAGATGCAAAAATGTCCCTAACTAAACTATGGAATTATATCACAATGGATTAAATTGACTAATTATATATAAGAGTGCAGAGAAAAGGCAAGGGCAAAATAATTACAGTGTTGACAGTTAACAGTTAGCTCCACATATCTCAATCTAAAACAGTGGAGTGTCAAGTTATGAGATTTCTTTTGTTAACCAGAAATTGAGCTAAATCCAATTGTTAGTCCCAGTTAAAGCAATCTTTTGAATCAATGGCGCACACACATATGCATCTTTTGTGCATCTGCTTTAATTGGGATGAACAACTGAATATAGCTAGAGAACTGAATAATATATCATAATTTCAATATAATACTGAAATTATACTTATGTTTATGTACCACATATTCTGATTTTTATTGTTATTTTATAAGGTGTCTGTATACTTGTGTTGTTACTCGTAATTTATTTATGCATCTTTTTTAAAAAAGAGCCCAAATTCAACAGCATACTTCCACCAATGAGACTACTTTGACACCCCCCCCCTTCAACCATCTTCTCTTAGGCCACCACAGAAGGTGAAAGGAGGTGAAGAAATCTCAGTCAAACTGGCAGTCAGTTGCTAGTGTAATGCTGAATTAAAGGCAAGGAAGAACAAGTGCTTTTTAAAATTGTGCTCAAAGCAAGGCAACTAACAAAAATGTGAAGCATGGTATTCCTATCCAGTCAATACATCTGCCAATATGAGAAACATTTGTAATAAACATTTAAAGTAATTTGGAATAAGAAGCTGATGGCATACACCAAAATCCAGGTCTATAGAGCCTGTGTCCTGAGCACACTCCTGTATTGTATTGAGTCCTGGACCCTATCTGCACGGCAGGAGAGGAAGCTGAATACGTTCCATATGTGTTGTCTCCGACGCATTTTTGGTATCACCTGGCAGGACAATGTCCCAAATAGAGCAGTCCTAGAACAAGCTGGAATTTTTAGCATGTATACATTACTGAAACAGCACCGTGTATGTTGTGGGCATGTCGTGAGAATGGCTCCTGTATGGAGAATTAGTGCAGGGAAATCGCCCCAGAGGGAGACCACAGCTGCGATACAAGGACATCTGCAAGTGGGATCTGAAGGCCTTAGGAATGGACCTCAACAGATGGGAAGCTTTGACATCCAAGCGTTCAGCCTGGAGGCAGACAGTGCATCATGGCCTCTCACAGTTTGAAGAGACACTTGTCCAGCAGGCCGAGGCAAAGAGGCAGTCCCAAAACCAGCAAAACCAGTGAGCTGGACAGGGGACAGATTTATTTATTTATTTATTTTATTTATATCCCGCCTATCTAGTCCCTCAGGACCACTCGATTGTAGTTGTCTTCAGTGTGGAAAAGACTGTCACTCTCAAATTGACCTTCTCAGCCACACTAAATAAATGCTGTTCCAAGACCTCCATACAGAGCAAGTTACCATAGTCTCTCGAGACTGAAGGATGCCTATTACTAAGCATGTTTTCAATTGTACAACTGCAATGTAAAACTCAATAAAATGTCAGCATTCTCTAGTCCCTCATCTGTTTTAGCAAGCTACTGATTAACAGCACAAGCTGTGAGTCAGACGAGACATCAGAATGGGAACTTCAGTCATAAACAGGGAAAGCAAAATAGTTTGTGCAATAACTTCATTTATGTGATAGGAATATACTGGCCTTCCTCACAAAACTTTTGGAGGAATTACTGAGAATGTCCATGAAATACTTTGACCACTGGCGAGTATATGCTACGAAGCTCTATATTACTAGTATTGAAATAAATTGTAAGTCAAATTCGATATATTAGAAGCGAGAATAATATTCTCCATATTCTGTAGCACATCCCTCATATAGTAAAAATCATGGCATTTCAACGATGTGTAGACATCATGATATGAATTACTGTACCTCAGTTTGTCCACATTATACACTTTGTCAGATTTATACTGCTTTTAAGCAAAGACTATTGCAACAGGTACAACACAAACTGTTAAATTATATATGAGTCTGCTCTATAGTTTCTGGAGGCCTTTTGTGGAAAAAAAACAAAGCCTACAATGGCTGAAATCCTTCCGCAAGGCTCACGCATTGTGATGATGCCATCAGCAGCAAGGTAAAGATAAAGATTCCCCTTGACAATTTTGTCCAGTCGTGTCCGACTCTAGGCAGCGGTGCTCATCTCCGTTTCCAAGCCATAGAGCTAGCATTTCTCCACAATCCTCCGTGGTCATGTGGCGAGTGTGACTAGACACGGAATGCCATTTACCTTCCCACTGAGGTGGTACCTATTTCTCTACTTGCATTTTTGCATGCTTTTGAACCGCTAGGTTGGCGACAGCTGGGACAAGCAACGAGGGCTCACTCCATCGCGTGGATTCGATCTTACGACTGCTGGTCTTCTGACCTTGCAGCAGAGGCTTCAGCGGTTTAACCCGCAGTGCCACCATATCCCTCTGGGTCGTGGCATTGTATAAATGTGCAGGTGGAGTTGTGCAACAGGATTTCAGTCATTATTTACCATGTAACTCATTGATTATAATAAATTTCAACAGCAACATACTGTACCAGGTAAATGGATAGTTAACAATGTCCACCCCTGACAGTTTTCAATTTATTTGCATAAATGTGAACCATGGTATTCCTTATGTGATATATTTTACGTGGTTCTTTTTATGATAATTTCCTTCCACCTGCATTCTTGTAGAAGTCTGATCCCTGATATTTAGTTTGTCGGCACTACACAGTTATAGCAGCTTGTTATCTTTCTGACATCATTCCATCTTGTGCAGTCCTGCTACTTCTAGCTTAGTGAAGTACTTGGACTTCTCTGCTAGCTAGTCCTCCTGCACTTCCCTGACTTACAACAGCACCTCACCACACAGTTTCCAAGAGATGATACAGCTACAGCTGCTATGGCAGTTAAAATGATATTAAAAAGATACAACGATATAGTGTAGATACACTTTTGATCAGAACACCTGCACAACCACTTTGTTCAGACTGACTGATACAATCTTGGACATATACTCTTAAGAAATAGTCAACAATCAGCAACAGAGACATATTGCAAAAAGAAGACTTAAGAGCCTTTTGACAAGTGTTCAGGTACCACCATAAAAATGTCATTTCCCAGCATTCTCCATTAAGGATAGTGTCTACTGGAAAAGTGCAGTGCTTGCTTTGAATGTGGTAGTCCTAAAGTCATAATATAAAGCCACCATCAACATTTCTAATTTATAGGAATGCACACCTTATTAATGAAGCAAGTAGTCTTCACCACAAATCTAAATTCTGGGGAAGTGAAACGTCTACCTCTGATTCTCCCTGAATCATAGAAATGAAGCTACAGGAAGTTTCTTGTGTTTATGTTGCTCATCCCACTTCACAGAAAGACCCAACACATTTACAGTTACCGGATTACCAATACAACAAGTGACTTTCCATCAAAACTGTATCCCATAGCAGTTACTGTACTGTTAATCACTGAAGGTATGCAAAAATAGTCTAGGTGGAACACAAGTCTTTTGTAACAATTATTAGGAATGTGATCTTTCACAATCCCCATGTCATCTCCTACTGACCCTACTTACTAAGAAATGCTTCTAAACAAATGTATTTCTTTGGAAAAACAGGCTGTTTCTACCACAAGGTGGGCCCAACTGTTTTGAGAGAGGGATGGTAGGCTATTACATGTAAAACACTGAGACTGTCCCTGAACATATAGTAATTGCTAAATACCAGATATTGCACATTATTAATTGTAACTTTATATATGACACTCTGGAGGCACTATTGCTAAACATTCTATAAAACTGAGATTAGGAGAGAAGGCATACTCAGGCCATTTTAGTTAGAGTGTATTTCACAACAAGAGCACACAGAATCAAGAGAGAGGTACTTTATTTGAACAGTATAGTAAGGAATCAAGGTCAGCCCCTGTGCAAATAAACACTAAGAGACAACAACTCACTAGTAATACAGTAATATGCTTTGCAAACCAAAAGGACTGACATTCAATGCCTGTTTTCTCTGAATAGGCCTGCAGAATAAATTCCTGTCTGGAACACTGCAGAGCTTCTGCCAGCCAGAGTAGAGTGTAAGAGGTCAATGAGTAGGTGATTCTTTAGGTTGCTTTCTATGTTTCAAACTCTAACCCAGATGTCAGCAGTTTCAAAAAGTTTCGAACTCTTCCATTCTCTGCTTCTGTTATTTTTCTAGTTGCCATAATTTTACCAAACTTTCCACAAGTTTATCCTACTTATTGATTTGGCTCACATAAGCAAGCAAACAAATAACCGTATAATTTGCAGACTTCAGAGCTCAACTGCTGGGTTTTTTGGATCTTATCCTAGTTCCTGATACAGACCTTTACAGATTCAGAAGCAGGCAAAAGAATTTAGCTCTGCTCGCTTCACAAAATAAAAAGCCTATCCTCCCATCAAGCTTGTAAGCAAACCCGCATGTGATTTCCAAACCTGATCAACCCGTTCCAGCAAAGTCTCGATTGGTTTCTCCGCAGGCCTAGCCGACTCATCACTGCGCTCTAAACCAAATAGTACTGTACGGGCATGATAAAAAGATCGACATCTAAATACGAAAAACTTCCGACAAGAGGAGAAAGAGGATTGCGGGGAGGGGGCAAAAAAAGTTCAAACAGGTATTTTGAAAACAACTTGTCCAATCCCATTTGGAGGACCGACCGACCGACGAACTATCCTAGATGCGAGACAGCTGTAAGAGCCGCCCTCCCACCAATAACTTCGCACCTGCGGGGCGCCAAAGGCTTTTGTTCCAACTGCCTCTCCCGAGAGGTACACGGCGGTGCACCCCTGCACCCCCTTCTCCACCCCCACGCCGCCGACATCTACCCACGGGGTTCCTGCCTTGCATTTCCCCCCCCCGCTCTATTTCATGAGAAGCCACGCGGCGCAACAGCTGAGGCGCCCTGATTCCGCCGCGCGCTCCACCTCCCGCTCACCTCGAGCCGCTCCACCGGACCGACCACGACTCACCAGCCACCCGGAAGAGGGACACGCGAGCCGGGCCGGCGGGTCCTGTGATTTGCTCGTCTGGGGGGAAAAAAGCCACTAGTTACCAGCGCGCATGTGCGAAAGACCTGCGCATACTCCGTAACAGCAGTTGTTGGCGCTTCCTCCCTCTCTTTTGCCCTTAGTCGAAGGAAAGGGTTCCTTTCTGTTACCATTCCAAGAGATTGGGGGTGGGGGACGCAGGCGGGGGCTCCTTAAAAGGGAGTGAGAAGTAAACAAGTTTTTCCTGTGTTTAGAAAGTATGCCGTGTTAGTTTAAAAGCTCTCTGACCTTCTTACCAGGGGCTTTGCAGTTGAAGTGGACCATGGAAAAACCGTTTCCCCCATTCCAGTCTTTTTTTGACAGGGCAGCCTTTAGCCTTCAATTTCAAGGAGACGGAATTTTCCAGCGAAAAAAATGCCTGAAGGAGGGGTACTGACCTCTCAACAGCACCCTTGGGTGGGAGGTGTAATTCTTCACCCTCTAGATATGGTCCAGCAGGACAGCTTTTGTGTAATGAGCTTAAAGGCTATTAAAGTCAATGGGTCTGCCTCTCCCCAGTAGTATGACTGATAAGGAACTGAGAGTAGTACTCAACTGGCTGCCTAGAGTAGTCCACCGCGACTAGCGATAAGGAACTGAGAGTAAAGCATAGTGTCCTGGTGAATGTTGAACTGGGACCTGGAAGATCCAGGTACTAATCTACCATGGATTGATCTTGGACGTGTCACTGTAAAGCATAGTGTCTTGGTGAATGTTGAACTGGGACCTGGGAGATCCAGGTACTAATCTACCATGGATTGATCTTGGAAGTGTCACTTTCTTGTACAGCCTGATCTACTTCACAGGGTTGTTGTGAGAGTAAAATGAAGAGTAGGCAGCAGAGGAGAGCCATGTACACCACTTGGACTGAACTCAGGGGAGGAAAAGAAGAGAAGATAGAAATGGAACAGAGAAATGAATACTTCCAGAAATTTCCTGACATTATAGGATAGAGAACTAAGCACGTTGTAGTGGTGAGGGCATATTTTTTGCTGTGTGGGGGCAAAAAACTGCACTTTAAATGCCTGCTGCACATGATTAGTAAATGCAACGTTCTGGAATTCCTTGCTAGATTTTGTATCCCTCCTGCTTCCTCCTTTGAGTTCAATCAATGTGGTGACAAAACTTTCCTCCTACCCACTTTATATTCAGAACTATCTGTGAGGAACGCTGGGCTGAAAAAAAGATGGAGACTTCCAAGGTCATCCAGTGGTCTTCTCTCCCACCCCACAACCTCTGCTGCAGGGGAAAAGGAAGGAAGAGGGATTGCTCTTCGTTGCTTCCATGCCTCTTCTGACTGCCACCACCTATTGCTGATTATCTCCTTTTCCTCCAAAATCAAGTGTGACATTTGGGCAAATTAATGCTACTTTAAGAGAACTAAACTTGTTACCATGCTTACACTACCTGCCCAATCAAGCTTATTATTCAAGTGCTTTAAAGCAGGGTGCCATGTCCCTCCCATTTATGCTACCCTGCAGCATCCCCCTTTTTTCTTGTCTTTTATTTGAAAACTTTAGTTTTTAGTATTGTTTTCTTTTCTTCAACTATATACTGATGCTGAAAATTTGCCTCAGTTGTACTAGGAAGTCTTCAGCCATGCTGCATTATTTCAGCAATTGAGAGTGTATGTACACAGAATGTATGTACACATACACAGAAAATGAATAGGTATAACTGCAGAAGCTAACTTGCTGATGATGCCATTTTCAGACTGCAGCAATCCAACGTTCACTTCAGCAAGCAAGGTTCTGGAGAAATGTGATGGGTTTTCTATCAGATTTATGTGAATAATAATACTCTTAGTGGTTTGCCCTTGAAGCAATAACTATAGGCTTTAAAAAGAAAAGAGCAACTTTGACACCCTACAACATACTTGATTAAGTCTAATTTAGCCCATTTCTATCTGTTCACTCTTCAGTTTATGGGGTGGGGTTCTCTCTATTCCTAACACATGATTGTATATAAAGATATCATTAAAATATTTAGATGGTGGACTTTTATGTCATTCAGAATCCTTCCTCAGGCTGGGTATTTCACATCATCTGAGGAATGATGGATCGAAATAGCAAAGTTCAAAAATCTTCCTGTCCAGATGGGAATTTGAAGTTACACTAAAACTGCAAAATGGAGGCTGCAGGTTTGAAGATCAGCTTGAGGCATATTGGTATCAGGTTACCCTTTGGGAGATCTAAAAGCAATTGTTTTTATCCATCTCTATAAACCAGGTTTAGGTAACTGTGGCTTTCTGGATGTTTTTGGCCTACAAATCCCTTCAGCCCCAGTTAGTGAGGGACTGTGCAAGTTTCAGTTCAAAAACATTCAGATAGCCACTCTTGCTCATCCCTAACAGACTGGGAGACACGTAGTGAACTACTTGTCCTTAGTCAAACCACGTCTCATTTGTTGCTTCAATAATACTGCAATTTCCATATCAGCAAAGCTGAAGATTAAATTTAAACAATGCACTGGGTATTAACTGAATCACAAGCATCAAGTAACATTATTTCCGTTCTAGATGAGTTTGTTTGGCATGCAGAAGATAGGCAAATCCTGATAAACTGCACTCTGGAAAATGATATATTATCTGTGGAAAATATTAACCAGAAACCAACTGGGGGAAAAATATGTTGGTGTAATTCCATTGGTGTAAATCACAGCTGTGAACTGCAGCAAGTTAAGAAGTCAGCTTAGGCATCTGCTGTTGAGTGCCAGGTCACGGAACTGGAATACAACAACCAGTGCCTATGCTCACTTCTTAAATTGCAGCAATTCACAGCTGAGATTTACACCAATTGCGTTATACCAATGGATGTAACTAACAAGTTTCTGGCCTTTGAGTAACCTATCCTGCTTCCTCTTCTATGTGTTTGTGCATTATACCAATGGATGTAACTAACAGGTTTCTGGCCTTTGAGGTATCCTGCTTCCTCTTCTATGTGTTTGTGCTTTATGATACTGTACTGATAACCACAGGAAGGTTTTACACAGTTGCTGATAATCAAGGATCCGCACACGCATCATGGGAAATCCCCACTTCTACCAGTTTTGTTTTGAGTTTTCTCCTTATCAGGGTTTGGGAACATGTGGCCCTCCAGAAATGGCTGGAATGCAAATCCCACCAGCCACAGCCAATAGTCTTGTATCTAGAGGGTGTCACATTCCTTCCTCACACTTTCCCTTTGATTTTTTAAAATTTGCTTGCCTATGGATCAAAGCCCCTTTACACATATGTAAATCCATGGCCAGATAGATGGACTATAACATAATCAGAGGATAATGAGGCATCATTCATGCTTCTCAGTGTCATGCTCTCAAACATTACAAAATGTCATAAACTATTGCAAATCTCAGTTTGAACAAAACTATGAAAGCAGCTGATCTTGATTGTGACTCAGGTGTAATTAAGTTCACTTTTCCCTCTTTTCTTTTGTCTGATGATAGTACACAAATGATGGTTTTCTTCTTTCAGCATTCAGGAAGCTTAGAGCTGGGAAGCTGTACTGTACCATAAAATAGGTAACAAGTGTACCTTACTATGTGACCTTTAAGGCAGGATCCATCAAATGTAATTTGCTCTGCAGCAAGTGACCTTAAAAGCTATGCCACTATTTATTTGATGACAAATTTTCTTTCTGGAAGATGCTCATCTCTCCTGGTCTTCCTATTACAATACAAAAGCAAACAGAGTAATGAAGCTCAGTGAACTCAATGTATTTGAACTCGATCTGATTATTTTATTGTAGGTACATAAATGCAGTGTTCCACTATCAAAGTTGGCTGGATTGTGCCCATAACTTATATCCAGATGTTTGCAAGTATAATGTTAAAAATGCTTTCACTGGGATCAGTGCTGAGCATATGATGTTAAGTCATACTGTTGAGGCCCACACATTCATGAAGGATACACCCTTCTAAACTGCTGATAAAGGAAGTGCGCTCATAGCACGTTTTGATGCTCAGCAACAAAACATAGCAATAAATGTGTGTGGTAAAGGACATATGTGGAGGTTGGCTTCTTTCTATCCCTTCCCATCAGGAGAGAGTCCTGCACATGCCAAAAGGTGCTGTGCAGAATCATTTTAGGAATCTGGGTTTAGCTGGGGGCATCAGTCACCTTAGGAAACAATATAGGAAAAGACATCCATTATTCACTACTTGTCTTTTAGATTTCCAGGTAATAGTTTCCTGCGCTGCAGAGCACAGCTCAGTTCCAGGCAACAGCCTTCTGGGCTGCAAAGCACAACTTAGTGTCATATCCTAGATTTCTGGACTGCAAACCAGAGATCAGCTTTCCAAAGTTTTAATAACATCTTATCACTGACCAACAGACAGCCACAAAAGGTTATAGGCTGAATAGGAAAACGATACAGGCCTCATCCAGCCTCTAGATACTGTACATATTCCTCATTCCTGCTGTATATGTCTACAATCCATTGTGTGATCTCCATTTCTTACATATCATTCACACATCCTGGCTCCACAAAGGTCCTGTTCTTCCTGCCAATTGCAGCAGTAGCTCTACTGTCTCCCTGCTCAGCTGGCCGCTCAGCAGCCATACAGGGAGACTTGTCCTCCTGCCCCCTGCCTGGAATGGCCAGCTGAGCAGGGAGACAGCAGAGCTACTGCTGCAATTAGTGGGGAAGAACATGACCTTCATGGCTCTGGGATGCATAAGTGGACAGGCCAGTTCTGGACTCTCATTAGGTGCAAATGGGATGGGGATATTCATATTTGTAAACATATTTGTTTATGAATAAGACTATCCCCATCTCTAATTTTCACCGTTATACTTGCAAACATCTGTTTACAAAGCAGGGACATGATTCAGTCAGTAATTTCTCCAACAATCTCAGGGTGGCTTTCACTTTATCGTCACAGAAAGCCTGTGCAGTAGGCCAGGCTGAGGATGACTGCCTGAAGGTGTCATGGTTCAATAACGGGGTGGGTAGGATTTGAACCTGCATCTCTCAAATCAACGGTAGCTGCTACATCCCAGTAGCTGTTGGAACAAATGACAAGATGTTTCCTGGCCATA